CCATCTGCTTTAGAAAAAAAGCATATAAGGAGGAGGTGCATCGTTCTCGCAGCCAAGCCAAAAATTCCACAACATGCTCCTCAGACAGCGTCCCCATACAGTCCGTGGAGATCCAGTTTTCGACACGTAGACGCTGCTTTCCCAGCTGGGGTGAAGTGAGGCTGGATGCCCACATGGGAAGCAACGGCTTCGGCGTGTTGTTTGGAACCGTGTGGACAGAAAACACACTGCGGGCGGAGCGATCTTTTGGATCGCCAAGAAACGAAAATTGTGGTCTTTTTCGCAACTGTACCGGTGATTCGGCGGCAGTGGACAAAAGATGCGGTGTCAGCACATCCGTTGCTTTTAGTCCCGAGGGCCGCTTGGGAATGGCGGTTTGACGGAAATCGACTGGCTCGCCGCCCGCTTGCATCGTGGCTGCGATTGGGGGGTCCTTCCCCATCGCGTGAATCGTGGCCGCACGATCGGCTGGTTGAGCGGCGGAAGGCACATCCCCCGCTTCGGATGCATGCCGTGTCGATGATGACGAAATGCCCCTCGCAGCTGCGATTGGGGTGAGTCGTGCGAGTGGTGGGCGCTGCGTCCTCCAACACGCAACGACAGCCACATGCATCTTGAACGTGTCGCGGCCGCAGCAGCACTACCCAAAAAGGGTGCAGTGACGTGAGTGCTCCTCCCTGCCTTCTACTCGTCTCCCCCCTCCCTCCTTTTCTGCCTGCTGTGCGGGCGTGTAATTCTGCGGGTGGAAGAAAAACACCAAAAAAAACACACAAAAAAAAATTTAATAAATAAATAAAAGAAAGTGACGGTAAACGCACGTACACGGCAACAAAACAAATCAGTAAAAAAAAAAGAAAATTAATATGCCGGTCGCAAGGCGTATTCATCCCTGAAAGACGTCCGTTTTTGAAATAATAATAAAAAGCATGCCGCCCATCGCAGCTGCGTGCTCGTCTTCCGCCCTTATCGTCGTCTGGAAGAGCGGCGTTGGATCCCACACACCACAACACCATCCACAAAAGCGGGAATAAATTTATTGAATTATTTGTTTTTCTCTTTTCCTTCAGTCATACATTTTCTCCATTATCCTCTTTGCATTTGTCTGTTTCCTCTTCCTTTTTTCTTTCTCCTCCAGCTTCGTTGAAATGCCGCAATTCTTTCGTTTCACACAAAATATTCTTGCATATGTATATATATATATATATATATTTCTTTTAACTCATTCTATTCCCCCTTTCCTTCTCTTCCTACAGCATCATTGGACTGACTCAAGGGAAAGACTTGCCCCCCCGAACAGACGTGTACCACATGCATGTACCCATGTTGCCAAGGACCGCCCGCACTCTAGATACACATGAATTTAATATCTGCGCGGCATCTTTTTCCGTTGGTGAGAGCCAAGAAGGTTGGACGACTCTGCTCCACCGCTCGGCCCCGCATCCGTAGCGAATGATACCTTGGAAGTTATGGGCTGAGCAAACGACAATGTGCCCGTGGGATTCGAGACACCGGAGGGAACGCCTGGAACGGACTGCAAGCCTCCTCCACCAAAGGCCCCAGAGGGGGCGTCATTGTACGACGGCGCGGCAAACGGATTTGGCCCCGCAGCGGAATCAACACCGGCCGAACCAAACGAAGACGGAAAGTTGGATAAAGGAGCACTGGCAGGAGTAGTAAAGGCGCCCGGCCCTGAAGGTACACTAAAGGGATTGGAGCCAGCGGAGGAGAAAGAAGGAACCGTAGGTGTCTGCCATGCGTCCGACGGCGCGGCGGAAACAGTTGTAAATCCAAACCCCTGTTTGGCAGAAAACTCATTGCCAAATCCAGCAGACATGTTATTAAAGGAGGAAGCCGATGGATTGCCACCATTACTAGAAGAATTGTTGGCCGTCGTTGTTTCTGCTGTCGCCACCCCTCCTTTGGTGGGCTCAACCACATTCATTGCACCGCCAAGGCCGGATGTGCTCGCCTCCGTTGAACTCCCAGAAGATGCGCCAAATGAAAACGGATTTTTTGGCATTGAAGTCGTTCCAGTCGCAGGCGTCCCACTTACCAAATTTCCGCCGAACGAGAAGGGATTCTTCTTCTCCGTGGAAGACCCTGCAGAAGTGTGTTCCGCTTTCATCGCCGGTTCAACCCCCGCCCCAGTCGAGGCTGTTGGGCCTTTAGAATTGCCACCAAATGTAAAAGACTGCTTTGGCGCTAATGAAACATCTGTGGCGGGTGCCTTATTCGTCGTATCCCTCGTGGTGGTGGTGGTGGTGGTGTTGGCATTCGCAGGGGGACGACTGAACGGCGGCAATTCCAACGACTGTGGGTGGGCATGAGGGTGTCTCTTTACATCTTCTATGGACTTCTCTAAAAGAGCAACGGCCGTGGACGTCTGGTTCACTTCGTTACGCAAGGTGGTGACATCGCCGCGGAAGGTTTCTACGAGAGTCTGTAGCCCTTTGAGAGATCCGACGGCACCCTCCATCGACGACTGCCTTCCATCCATCAGCTGCACATGTTTTCTGAGTTCCGCCACTTCTACTCGCAGGTCACTGACAAAACAACGCGCACCTTCTTGGGAATGTTCAATTGCCTCACGACTTCGTTGCAACTCTGCCCGTGTCTCCTCCACAAGTTTGCTTAAATGATCATACTGATCCTGCATCCGTCTCAGTTCTGTGCGGAGCATAGCGGTATTATCCTCTGAAGAAACACCGTCCCCTTTATTGATGTTCAATGGCTCCTTCCGTGCAAGTTTTGCGCTCCTGTAGTATTCTATAGACTCGTTCAAGAGGGACTGCTCTTCCTCGTTGGATATAGGCCGCACATGGCCTTGATGACTCAGTTCATACGGATTCACAGCTCTACTATCGTCATGAAAATTTTTATTTCCCGCAGTGTGGCCTGCAGTTCGTACGGCAATTCCGTTGAAATGATACCCACGTGGCGCCAATTCCCGCCCTCGTTTTCCACGCATTTCGGATGTGTCTTTCGGTTGGCTCAGTGACACGCTTTCCATTGACAGATTTGGTGTGAAAAGCATGGGAACGGGCACCGCCAAGTCGCTCTGCACGTAAAAGTGATTCACAACGGGCGTGTTTGTCATCCAAGTCGTTCCCACAGCCGTGTTGATGCGTCTCTACTCCTCTGCGTAAATTCCTTCGGCCACAGATGCAATGTGCGGAATCCCTACTCAATCGGCAGCCACAATCGCTCTTATTATATCCTCCCTGATTCACGTGCCATAGTGTCATTACAGAAGCAGACAGAAAAAAAAAAAAAAAAAGAGAAGCAGAAAGGAAAGAGAATATATATATGCATATTAAAGTAAAAGAAACATCCTTTCCAACCACCACCATGACACCCACATACATACAAGGAAAAGGGGGGAGGATGTGAATACGCAGCATTTGAAAGAAACACTGACTCAACCCAATAACAATATTCGTCTTTTTTCCTTTTCCTTTTTTTTTTCTTTTTCCAACTCACCCACCCATCCACGCATCAACCGCGACTGTTCAACTCGGCGTCGTGCTGTCCGCAACCCACTTGAGGTAATCCTCGCTGCCGGGCCCCATTGGCACGCTGATGATCTCCGGGACGTCGTACGGGTGATGTCGCGTCACATCCGCAACCACCTCCTCGATAAGTGAAGTCCTTGTTTTTATCATCATGAGGCACTCGCTCTCCTCCTGCAGGCGGCCCTCCCACTGATAGACGGATTGAATGACGGGAATGATGTTCACGCATGCCGCCTTCTTGCCCATGACCAGCTGCTTCGACAGCTCGCGTGCCACCTCCATCGAAGGCGTCGTCACGTAACACACAGAGAACATAAAGGAGAGTATTTGACACAACACAACTCCGTAAAAAAAAAAAAAAAAGCAAACCCCAATAATAATAAAAATTAAAGAAACTGCAAAAGAAAATAATAAGAATAATAATAATAATTTGCTCTCTGGACGGAGAACACCCGACCCCCTAAAAAAAAGAAAAACCGGCATGCACACGCAAGACGGCCACCAGCATGTGGAGGGCAACAGAAAAGGAGGGAAGGAATTTCATAAGCAGGTGTTTGTATATATATATTAGCAGCTGTAGTGTTTCCTTTCTTCATGGGAAAAGAAAGTGAAAGAAAAAATGATAATAATCCTCTTCCATGTTGTGGATGATCGCCACCCATACACACACACACACACACACACACAGACACGATTTCAACGCATCTCCTCCCCCTCAGTGGAGCACCATCAGTGGCAAAAGCAAGCACACACACACAAACACACACACACACACACACGTAGGCACATACACCCACTAAAGTTTATGTGTCACCGGGGTGGCCAAAGACAAAACACTGCCATCCAGTTCCCTCACACCTTCGATCTATTGGAAGTCCATCCAGGCACGGAAACGAGGTGTTCACCGGGACACACAAGAGCAGTGAGCTCCCCGCCATACACACACCGAGTGTCCAATCCGATCGCATGAGGGTAGCGTTGGAGGCCTCGTCTGGCGTCGTGGCCAAAGACAACAGTCTCCGGACCCTGCCACAGCGATGCCCACGGCACACCGTCCGTTGTATCCTCAGATGCCCTGTACAGCCCGTCATCCTGCAAAATGAGGTTGCGCATCGTAGTGACCTCCTTAACCAATTGCCGCTCAAGCGGGTGTTGAACGTGAAGGCCCGCATGTACTACCAGAATTTTGTGTGCGGGAATGCGGAGAATATGCGGCAGTTGTGATAAATACTCTTCAACATCCTGCGGTAGCGACATGGCAAGCGGGGCTAAACTCGATTGGCTATTCTTCCCGTGCAGCGCCCCATGTTTTCGTATCTTTTTCCGAAGTTTGAGAAGCTTGGCGTCATGATTGCCAATCACACCGCGTGCTCCAAGGCTCTTCAGCAGACGCACAACGCCAAACGAGTCTGGCCCTTTGTTCACCATGTCCCCAGCGGTGATTAACTGATCCCTTCCCCTCGCAAAGTCTGTGACTGATAAAATGTCCTCCAGTTGGGCAAGGCAGCCATGAATGTCGCCTACAATCACAACCCGCCCATTCACGTTGTGGAGAGTCTCCAACTGTGCGTATTTTTTTCCCATCGTGATGCTAACAGCACACATACACACACACACACACACAAACGCCCTAGTGCAATAAAAAAAAGGCACCAGACTATTGAGCGTCACAAAGAGAAAAATCACAGAGAAATAGTAACATGCAAATCCATTACAACCGCAACTGCCAAAACCACCACCACCACCAGCAGCGGCGGCAAAAATGCCCTGACTAAAATTCAGAAAAAAGAAAAATAAAAGGAAAAATATCTGATATGGCAGTAACGTCCATAATATATACAACCCCTCCAAGCGTCTTTTGTTCTACCGAGTTTCCTTCAGTCTATGGCTCTGCAAAACAGGCATAAAAATCTCACTGAACCTCCTTCATATTTGCATACATGCACCAAAATAACAATAATAATAATACGTGGATAAGTAAAAGCAGACAAACGGTATAAATGCGTGTGTGTATGTGTGCTCCTAGAGACAGTGATACCACACCACCACCTCCGCCTCTACCGGGTCAATGCAGACATAGCAGTAGTTCAGGTTACTGGGCTCCGCGTCATCGGTTCGAGTAAAGAGTGAAAAACCGCTCACTGCCTGCACAGAAACAACAGTTGAAACCACTTCCGGTGTCAATGCGGTACCGTCCACATATGCGGCACGATCGGGCTCGTCCATGCCATCCCCAGCAGATGTTGCCTCATTCTTCTGCACCGCACGAATGGCGACAAGGCCCTTGTACCACGCCCGCGCCACATCAAGGTAAACTCCCAAGTCGTCATCCCACTGGTTGTTGCTGCCGCCACCCGCCACAAGGCGCCATAAAATGTGATACAAAAATTCGGAACGCTCCGCCTCCGTAAAAATGCGACGAAGTGCGGCAATTGAAAGTCCTGCACCAGAGCCATAATTAATCGCGTTCCACGCCTCCTCCTCGGCATACTCATCTCCCTCATGGCTTATGGCGCGATTGTGTGCAAGCAAGAAGAGCGCCCGCAACTCATCCGTCACGGCAATGTCGTGTGGAAGATAAAAATCCGGGCGTCGAACGACGGGCAAACGCACGCAACCGTCAAATATGGCCGCTTCGGCCTCATCGTGACATACATCTCCCTGCACCTCCACATGCCGCACAACTCCTGCCTTGACGAGACGAGTGAATGGCTCAAGTGTCGTCCAACTACAGTGCAGCTCGGTGTATTCCACCGCGTCACGTGTCAGTCTCATTGCAGGAGAAAGCGCAAGGGCATCACGCACGGCGGTGGAGTCAAAGAGAGACACAAGAAACTCCTGAAGCACCCCTTTGTGAAATCCAGAGAACCGTATCGCACCAGCCACAACGGCACCGTTGCCAACACCACCGCCATGAGACGCACCCTCCTGCGCAATTCGGCTTTTATTCTCCTGCTCAAACCGGAGGGCACACACACGAGTCTGACTGTGCAGCCCCCACCTTCGCTGTGCCTCCTTATAGGCGGGGTCCGTCAAAACATGTTCCAAACGTCGATGAGTTAACGGCTCAAAAGAGAAGCGAGTTTGCGGCCCCATTCTTCTCCCCGTTCCTTTCTTCCCCTTCGACTGGCCCGCACGCTGCCGCGACACAAAGAACAAACAAAACAAAAAAAAGGGTGCGGAAAAAAAAAAAACATAAAGCAAAAAAGCATAAGAACACGCGCAGCTAACAAAAAAAAAAAAAAAAAAGCATCGCAGCGCTACCACACACCGCCACATGGCCCACCGTTTAATTACATAAGAGATCAATTGAGCGACAGAAACACAACTCACACAAAGACACAAACACACAAATATACGCAGTAACGTGGGCAAAGATTTTTTTAAAAAGGTTAAAAAACACAACAACAAAGAACAAAGCCCATAAAAACACCCAACTATTATTATCATTTTTTTTTTTAAGTGGAGCCTGTTTTGGCGTATCTCACTACCTCCCACAAAACGAGTCTTGGCCGCATCACCAACAAAATTCATTCATCCCTACTCAATCCACGTAAAAAAAGGCCGTCGCTCCCAGAAACTGTAATATATATATCATTCTCTTTAGTTTCCGCCGTCTGTTTTTCATTCCGTCCATTTTATTCACTTCTCTCTTATTGGGTGTTTACCCTTTTTTTTTTCTTTCCTAAAGCTTTCATATCGACCCAAAACTCCGGTCCCCAAACTAATGGATACCCCGTACTGCAGTGGAGTGACGCCCATTGGCCGAGCCCCAGCAGAGAGGTGGTGGCGGTGTATGTTGCCTTCCATGACATCTCTCTCCCCTCCTCACATCAAATCACACAAACGACTTACGCTCTAAGTATCGCTTCAAGAAGTACAGCTGGAAGCAACTCATGATAACAAGTGTAAGAACCTGGAACACACTCCATATGAGCAGGCGCTCGCTCGACTCCTCCACCGTCGCCCGATGCTCCTTCTGCTGTGTACGCAAGAGCATCTGAAGCGACTCCACCTGACGCATCAAGGAAGAAATATGCTCCACTTTTCGCTCCACCGGGTCCAGCTCCGACTGCTTTGCCACAGATGTGTAGTCGACATGGTAACGGAAGTGAAAAACAACAAGCTTCGGGGTGTAATGTGCGTAGGTGTTGTCAAGACAAGCAACGATGGCCTTTGTGCCGCTCTGGGCGAGCACTTCATACAACCCTTCTGACGTCTCCCCCCACTCTTTAAGAATATGCCCCTCCTGATCAGCAACCGAGGCGCGTATGTCGTGGTT